CAGATGAAGAGAGAAACCCCAGGCTGCTGCGCCCTTCCAGGTCTAGGACAAAAAGTCACGTACTACAGAGCACAGCATGGATCCCCTCATGCAACTAGGACATGTTTTGGGAAAGAAAAGAGCACAGGATATCTCTCTCTCTCCTACTACGGAGTGAGTCACAGGAATATCATCTGTCAACACCTTAATGAGAACTGGGCCTCCAACTGTGGAATGACAGTGGGAAACTGCATGCCAGCAATGACCCCTGAAGGGAAAACCCACCCTTGCACTCCTGCTTATAATGCTAATAGCGCATAAGCAGTCAAACCACAGGGCAGACTAGCTTTTCTCTGGTATTAACTACTGTGCTGTCCACCATAAAGTCATTTGTCACCAATATACTTCCAGCATTGGTGTAACAGCTGCAAAAATATAATCAGTCCCTCCATCTCTGTCCCACTGGATACCAACCGCTGCTTCGGTGGTCTCTTTGGATACATTTCTGTTCTCTACTGGCCAGAGGTCAAGTTTTCCAGAAGCTAGTTGCCTGTATAAATTACAGTGCACATATTTTACATCTCATTGTAATTCTTTCTTTTGCCAGCATCTGCTTCTTTGCAAATGTTCCATTTCCAAGCCATTTTTGTGCAAGCCCCAGGAGAAGCTATCAGACAAGCATGCTGAAAATTTATCCACAGGCATCATTAATGCACATCTGGCTGATGAAGACATACAATTTATACAAACTGCAATTTGGAATTCCTCCTCTTCCAAAAAGCTGGTCCTAAAAGATACCATTTCCTCGGGAAAAATAGGACCAGGGGAAATATCTGAATGTCCAGTAAAAGAAGTCACAGGCTGCCCACATCTATTCTGGGGCAAGAAAAAAAACTTGGTACTGTTGTGTTTGATTAATTTTCAGTGTCAGCATTTGGAGCATCAGTACAGCAGGAGGCTGCAGGAGAGGTGCTGGGTAGCAAGAGACCAAAAGGAGGTAGCATACATCTGCTTGTGGGCTTGGGTGTAAAGTTACAATGTTGAGATGCTGTTGGGACTCCCAGATGTCTCTTTGGAGACAAGCAACTGAACGACTGCAAAATCAGAAAGATTATAAGGATAAGACTTATGCATTGGGACACCCTTGAAGAAGTCTGGAGACTTCCTGCTATTTCTTTTTCTTCTGCCACAGTTACAGTGAGAGTACCAACTGCTGGGCATAACAGACATCACGTAAAATGTGGGGAAGGATGCTTCAACAATCTTCATGCCAGAAAGTAGTGAATGCAAAACTAGATCTTTGGCGTTTAAAGGAACATAAAATGGGCCAAGGGCAACATTTCTGAGCTGAAGGTCGGGAAGTAGAGAATTGATGATATAACATGCCTGTCAACATCAAGGAATGGATGTGTAGGACCCACTGCAAAATGAGAACCAAAATGCTTCATCATGCTTTAAGCCCCACAAACGTACATTGAACTATCACACTTTACCTAACCCCCTATCATCTGTTAATGTCTGTAAAGTTTACCATCTTTTCATACTGTGGGAAATAGATGTAACTCTGAGTTATGGAGGCAACACACGTCCTGACAGTATTTATACTGTAAGAAAATACCTGTTCCAGTGCTGCTTGGATCAGTCTATGCCAGGACTGTACTTCCAAATGCAGCCTTTGCTTTCTTTCATTAGGCTGCCTTTATCTCAACCCACAAGCTTTCCATCTTATTTTCTCCCCCTGTCCTGCTGAGGAGGGGGATTGAGGGAGCGGCTTGGTGGGCACCTGGCAGCCACCTCACCACATAAGGTCATTCTGAAATTAGTTTTACTCTGACCGCTCGGTGAACATTCATCCAGAGGCTGGGCTGTGGTAAACTACTGAAGTCAGTTACTACCAGTAGGCATGACACTAATCCTGCTTCTCTGTGCTCCAGCAGAAGGTGCCGGTAACACATAGCAAGTATAAACAAGTTTGCTTATGGATATATAGAGGATGAAGGAGAAAAGAAGCAAGCAGAGAGGCTGAACTCCTTCCATTCTGCTCTTTTGCTGTCCTTCTACCACCTGCAGCACCAAAGGACTGTGCAATAGAACCATGTAATGGCAGAGAGGTTATAACTGCTCAACCTCAGATTGTGCTTGGTCCAGAAAATAGCTGTATCCATCCTCTACTGAGCAAAGGTATGGAGCACTTGCCCTCTGCTCTGATGCTCTGGGCTCCTATTTATCCCACTTTATCTAGCATTACCATCCCGCTTCCCTCTAAATGGCTGCCTTTGCAGTTCATGAAAATACCTTTCTGGATGGGGAAGACACTGTCCCAAAAAAACCCACACCACACAGAAAACCCCAACCCACAATCCATCTCACCTAAGCGCAGTCTTTTAAGTGTTTCCTCTGGCCTATAAACTCTGCTGAATTAAACTCCACCCAGCTTAACTGTCTGTGTTGGACACATACTAAAAAAAGTTATGTGCAGTGCTGTTATCTATCACAGCTTGGTAACAGTAAAACTGTGCCTTGTCTGTTTATTGTTGGCAAAGGTTCCACAAAGTTCCATTATCTCTCCTTGAATCCACACATAAACACTGAATGGGACAGGACTGAGAATGAAAGTCCTTTCCTAGTTAACACATTTCCCCTCAGCCCATCTGTCACCCTCGGAGCAGTATCAAAGCAGTGCTGCTGACGAATAGCATGAGGAGAGCTGGGAGGGAGTATGCTCTTCTTTATTCAAGGAAAACAGAGGATGATCCAAGAATTCCATCAGTTCTGTTTATTTTTAAATTGAATGATTCATATTGCCTTGCTAGCATATTGATCAATTTACAGAAAATTGTTTAAACAAAAGCAACAATTATCCTCTTGCCTCAGTATTGAGGATTTTTGCTTTTCTGATAGAGCATAGCCATACCATCTTCGGAGTTGCTCAGGGTATAATGGTGAGAACCTCTTAAAATATTAAAAAATCATAATCCATTATTATCGTGAAAATGATAATCACTGAAGTAGTTACTCTCTAAATAGTCCTAATTTCAAATTTGGGTTAAAGTTGATTGGACTAGAGTATTATGTGTAGACATATGCTCTTTGGTAGTTTTTTGGTGGCTTCTCTACAACCCAAAACCAAAGGCTGCAGCATCCTATGACACTGGTTGAACTGATGCCACAGAAATTAAAATGGATGTGAAAGATGAACTCTAACCTGGACACCTTCCAGATGAAAGCACTTGGCCCAAACAGAAGTCAGACAATGGCTGCTTAATGAATTGCTTTTAAAAAGCAAAATATATATTCAACTTCTCATCCAACCCAGAAAACATTATTTATCCAAAAGGAGGAGATTCCTTTGTCTAGGAAGAAAAAAAAATCAGATTTAGATGGTTCCATAGATTGGCAATGACTTTGGCCTCCTAGCAACCTTCTTCAGTACTCTTCGCATGCAGACTTGGCTCTGTATTTCAACTGCCTACTGTACATGGCAGTCATCTACTTCAGGGTATGACTGTATATGGAGTCTGCATCTGGCAGCCCTGAACAGTAGGTGGTCCGACTCGCTCATTACTCTCACACTATTGGATTTGGGGCAGCAAGTTAAGCAGTGTGAACAGAGCTCTTGGGCACACAGTCAGAAGAGTAAAACATTATCCTTTGTGCTTAACTCTTGAACAGTTCTTCCATCATTTCCTTAATGTACAGTGAACTGAGTTGTAAGCCTTAGAAAGAAGCCCTTAGAAATTCTCTGGGGGCTGCTCTTCCCAAGTGTTGTCTAGCCAGACGCTATAGGATGTTCTTGTGCTATATGAAAATATCCCCCTCTTATTTTTATCAACAACTTTCTTCTAAGAAACTACTTTTGTATCTTTTATGATACAACTTTGTTAAAATACTTTGTAATTATTTACACTGTGCCTTGGCTAAAGTAGCGTGCTAGAGAGAATTTAGTCAGGCAACAAAAAGGTTCAATTTAGGGAAGGAGGTGTTTTCCCTCATGAACCCGTTTCTGAGGTAAAAAATGTTCTCTGCAGCAAAATGCCTCTGACAGCAAGTTTGGACAGTTCTGCCCCTGAATGTTCCTTGAGTGCTTTCATCTTTAACAAAGGCTGTGTATCATGCGTCAAACTTCTGATGTATTTTTACAGTATTACAAATACAATGCATTTCATACAAAAGATCATCCATAACATCAGTTTTAATATAGCACAATTACTTTTAGACTGTACTTCCTAAGACTTCATAAAAAGCTGCAGGTATATAAACGTCCTCTTCTGCATTTTCAGGTACTTACTGTCAAAATCACTCAAATACAGAGTCCTAGATATGACATCAACTGGAAAAAGAGAAACTTTGGTACTTATTGATTTCTGCATATAAAGAAATTTTTTGTTATACAGACAGTAAGCACAACCTACTGTACAGACAATCTGTATCCATCAGCCCACACAGATCCTGCCTGGTTTCTTCCTGAGGGTGTTTCTTCCTCCTCATACAGGAGGCCTAGTCTGTGCTCCAAAACTGCACAAATTCAACTGTATCAGGGTAGCACATGCCCTCAGGGTGGGCAGCGTACAAGTGCTTTATGCTCACACAAATACGATGATACAGGAAGGCCAAAGAGTAAGGCCTTCCTATAGCAGCAAAAATGTATCTACGCAAGTAGTACACCTATAAAGCTATAAAATTAATACAGGTGTGCATGTGTGTACCGCCATATACACACCTACATTGCAAAATGGATATTCGGCAATCTATCAGCACGATCTGCCAAAAATTTGGACCTCAACCAAGGTCCCAACCGCCGCTTTCATTACAGAGGTGGTGTGACTTGCGTGGCACTGCGAAGCCTCCGACCTGACTTTTCAGCCTCAAGAAACCGCACGGCAGGGCTCGAGGCCGGCACCGCCGGACGCCGCCCCGCCCGCAGGCCCGCGCTCGGCGCAGCGCCCCTGGAACACGCCCCGGGCCCACCCCCGCCGCCCGCCGCGGCCGCTGCCCGCCCCGCCCCCCGCCGGACGCCCTGACGTCACTTCCGCCTCGCCACACACACACCCGCGCACGGCCGAGGGCTTCCGCCGGCGCGTTTCCAGGGCAACGCGGCGCCCCGCTCCCCCGTGAGTACTGGGGGGGTCCCGGGGGGGTCCCGCCGCCTCCCATGCGGGCAGCGCGGTGCCGCGGCGCTTCCGCTGCCGACGGGACGCCCCCCCAGGGAGCGGCCGCGGGGCCCGGGGCGGCCCTTCCTCGCCCCCCCGCCTGCCGGGGGCTGCCCCGCCGCGGCCTGGCGGGGCGGGGAGCGGAGCTCATGTCGCGGCCCGGCCTGGTAACGCCGCCGGGCTCCTGGAGTGGCCGTGCTGGCCGGGGAGGCACCGGTGGGCCTGCTCTTCCGGGAGGGGCCTGGAGCGGCGTGTTCCCGGCGCTGCGGGGCGGGATGCGGTGCCTCAGGCCGCTCCCTGCCGCGGAGGGAGGAGTTGGGCAGGGGCCGGCCCCGGAGCCCAGGAGCAGTGCTGTGATTTTACGTGTTGGAGCTGGGCAAAATGCCCTTCCGTGTCCCTCCTGCGATAGATGGGGGACAGGGGCTCTCCTGGTGACCGCTCAGAGGGGAGGCGTGAGAGGAGCACCCCTGGTTCCACTGCCCAGCAAAGCTGTAGTGGTTAAAGAAGCAGTATCTCCATCCAAGGGGACTGCACTGAGCCATCTTTTACCAGTTGATCAGTTTTATCCTGGATAGGACCATGTCTTGGGAAAAGAAATGGGGTAGCCATCATACAGAAGTTTATTATGATAGACTCAAACAAGTACTTAATCATGCTGTCTTAACTTATTTGTGCAGCTTGTCTCAGTGGGGCTGGTTAACGTCAACAGATGTCAACTCCCCCTCTCGCTGGGGCAGGCATGCCTCCTGGTGCTTTCTCAGGGACGCAGGCTCAGGCAGCTAGGGAGGTAAATACAGCTTCTCTCTGTCGAATTGGCCAAGAGACCGTGCAGGACATTGTATTTCGAACCATGGAAATCTTCCAGTTACTGAGGAACATGCAGGTGAGAAACAACTTTTTCTTTTAATGGTCCTCAACTTCCAATGTTTTTGCCACCAACTGCCAGTGACAGTAGGAACAGGAGGTAGCTTAGGACATTTAAATACATAACTCAGTCAAACTGCTTTGAAAAGTCAGATTGATTGGAGAAGTGAGTACTACTCTTAAGATACTTGCTTATTCTTGTACTTTAAGTGAAGATGGAGAACATTCAGAAGCGCTGAATTGTTACCTTCCCCACTCCAAATAATGTATTTTCCTTTATGAAGTGAAGTCAGTTTATATGCCGGTTATGTTTCTGTGTTAACATCTGGGGAGTAATTTTAGAGGAATTTTCATTGATCTTTTTCTGTAATATTTTCCACCCAGAACTTTTTGATAATTGCTTTTGTTATGAAAGTAGACATAATCCTTATTCGTGGCTGCTTACTGAGAAAGTGTACAAACTTTTGTTGTGTTTCTCTGAGAGCAGAACATAAATAATCATTCCCATTCCCTCTGTGTTTTCATGTGTCAGTTTCCTTCTGTAGGTATTTTAGGAATAGGTGTATGTACTTAGAGTTTGCTAACTGAATTCACTTTGATTGCATCTCTGAATTGTGACCTGGGGTTGAGACACAAAGTCTCGAAATGTAATGCTCAGATAACAGTGTCATGCTTAAGCATTTTGAAAACATTCACTGAATAGAACTACACAAGGATTGACAAACATCCAAAGCATAGAATACATAAAGCTGCTTGACAGCAGTGATTTGGTACATCAGATGAGCAGATAAAATAATACAGAATGAGCAGATAAAAAAAATACAGAAATTTCAGTCATTTCTGTGGAGATACCGGGGTTGTCTTATTTTAAAATGTACAAAACGTCCTCTGATTTAGTTTGTTTAATTTGTGTGACAAACTTTAACATGGTATTTTTAACGTTTTGGGGTTTTGGTTCTCTAAGTTACCAAATGGTGTTACTTATCATACTGGAACATATCAAGACAGACTGGGAAAGCTGCAGGAACATCTCCGTCAGCTATCAATACTCTTCAGAAAACTGAGATTAGTCTATGACAAATGCAATGAAAACTGTGCTGGGCTCGATCCTGTTCCCATAGAAGTAAGTATCTTTATTCATATATAAATTACAGATCAGAGTAACCACTCTCTGCTTAGCATACCATCTATTCTTGTGAGGTGCAAGAGACTCATAACAAACAAGTTTTAAGTGGGACTGGAACTGATCAGTGGGCTGAATTCTGTTTATTATTTGGAGCTGGTTGAAAGATTTTGAAACTTTCACATTAACGTCATCAATTCTTACTAGTTTGGGAGGAATCCAATTTTGAAATCAAACTTAATTTAAAATTTCAGCCTTTTTCCTCAGGCTTCTTGGTACATTCACCAGTTTCTTTCCCCTAGGTTAAAAAAAAAGAGTCAGGGATGGTTGTTTTTTAAAGTGGTTGTTTTATTGGGAAACAGTGTGCTTTAAGCTCTCACCTGCCAGCATAGCTCTGAGTAATAAGGATTATTCCCTTGCTCTGGCCATCAATCTGTGCCTCCATAGTTCCCTCACTTGACTACTCTTAACCTGCTGAGCCAGTATGAACCAAATCTGAATGTGCGATGGTGATGGAAAAGTTGACAGCGTAAAACTTCCAGGAAGGAGGATTGGCCAAAGCTTTTTCTAATAACTTTTACCCATAAGTAGTTTCTAATTCCTAGTAATACTCTTAAAGCCTGTTTTGTGTTACCATTTGAGTTACTACGGCTCTATATTAACCAGAACTGTGAAGTTCTTTAATTACTGAGCTCTGGATTCTGAGGATAAAACTTTTTTCTCATGTCGTTGACTTGTGTGAGACAGCTGAATAGTTGTGTCCCCTTTAAAAGCTGCTGTGTCTTGTTTTCACATACAGTTGGGATGAGGTAGGTTCTCTTTTTTTTTTTTTTCTTTTCACAGTTTTTTTCTATTACTAGGATGAAGAAGAATCTCCATAGAGAAAATGAGTAGTCCCTTTAAGCTTTTTTTTTAAGCCAGCATGTCACCAATGCCTTACATACAGCAGTTTTGTATCAATAGTTGGAATTCTTTTTTCTTTTCTTTACGTAGTCTTTGCTGCTCCAAAGTTATTAGAATGCCTGCCTCCTCATGTTTTATTAGTTAGGGTGAATGAAAGTGGCACACCATTCCTCTTGGATCAGTTTTCTTAAATTCTTGTTTCAGCTTTTCAGTAGTAGTCTCAATCATATGATTTAATGTCTGACATTCTAACCATATATTTCAAGAATATCAACAAATCTCTTTTTTTTTTTTAAACAGTCAAGAGAAGTTGGTACCTACTGATATTCCCTAGTTTATTATTATTGATGTAAATGTTTTAATATGTTTGCATTAATGTCTACTACCAATGTATTAGGTATTCTTATCTACTTTCTGTTAACCAACATAGCAAGGTATGAGATAATTGTGAAGCAGATCTGACTACAAAATTCTCTAATTGATTCATTTCCATGCTTCATTTGTGTGTTAGGTATAGTTCTGTACATTTCTTTTTTTCTACTACCTTTTCTGAAAGACAGGAGGTTTTAAAAGGAGATGTTCTACTTTGAGTGGTACATTATTTTTCCATCAGAGAGAGGGTTTTTTTCCAAGAGTATTCAGCAGCCACACTACTTCTGCTTTATGATGTGCAAATGTAATAAGTTGTTAATCTTTACTACATTTTCAATGGCAGAATTTAGTGTAGTAATTTCTGTACATTTTGATAATCTTAATAAGAATGGCCTACAAAACTTTTGGTATAGAAGGAAATGAAATTTTCAGTGGGTTAAATAAAAGTAAGTTTTCAATTAGAATGCTGAAGGATGATGCCAAATGCTTCATAATATTACACCCCAACCTAAGTAACAAGTTAATATACGTGATGAGCAAGTTGCCTGCAGACTTTTAAACTAATGTCTTACTGCTCATTTGCATCAGTTACTAGTCTTTCATTTGTAATGTATATGTGAACAAGGATGTGATTTTTCTATCAACATTAGCTTTTCTCAGTTCAGGACAGAAAAAGCAATATACTGTAGAATTTGTGGATGTGTATTATGTATAAAATGTTACAGCTTGTAATTATTTTTGAATAAGATGTTAGTAGCTTGGGAGTGTTCTGACACAAAAGCATGTATTTGTTTTGTATCTAGTATATTTACTGATTCTTCTTAACTTTTTTTTTTTTGAGGGAACATACATTAATACTCATTTAGAAATTTTTTATCAAAGATTTTTGGCTTTGTAGAAGCTTACAAAAAAGGTAGTACACTCTGTGCTTGAGGAGATCGTAGCGGAAAAAATATTACAGAAAAACTCCTATTAGGTAACTGTGAGCCTGGTCTTAAGAACAGCCAAACAGAGGCCCACTAAAATTACAAGTCATAAATAGGGTATTAGCCAAGTAGCTATGTAAAGCCAGTCATAATTGTTTAGTATATCACTGAACTACTTTATAATAATGATAACTTAATGCCTGTGGTATTTTATAGTGTAGAATTGTAAATTTAAAAATCACAATCTACAGAGTTGAACAATACAAGGATTACCTGTGATAAACATCTTCAAATGTAAAGATGGGGTTCTGTGTGCAGTTACGAAATTGCTTAGGTCTAGGCATGGTAATATGTGGGATTGTGTCTTTTTGAAGCAATTTGTTTTCCTGGGGAACTGACCAAGGTCATTTCAAGGCCTTTGGGTTTTTAGGTGATGAGGTAAACCTTCCTCCACTTCCTCTTGGGAAGTTTGAACTTTAGGAGAAAATGGTAGTACCTTATGCATCTCCTGTATCCTGGTTTTGGTTCATTGTTTTTTCTTTTTGTTTTTTCCTTTTTTTTTTTTTTTTTTTTTTGTATCTAATGTTTCTTGTCTTCACAGCAACTTATTCCATATGTTGAAGAAGATGGCTCCAAGCACGATGATCGTAGTGCTGCAAGTCAGCTTCGTTTTGCTAGTGAAGAGAGAAGGGAAATCATGGAAGTAAATAAGGTAACAAAGTTGAAATTGATTTGCTTAAAACTGTCACTTTGTCATTCCAAAGCTTAAACTTCTAGATTGCTGTACTAAATGCAGCATGTATGATGACTACCATCAAACTTGGCAATAAACACTTCTTACATGTAACTATTTTAGAATTATCCTTTAAGCAATTTTTTTTAGCTGTTCCTCTGGCTGTGGAGTTTAGGTTTCCTGACAATTTTAACTTGTGCCTCTTTTGAAACCGATACGTATTCTTCTGAATATGGTGTATTATGTTTATGCTTAAGCTACTAGGTATTGGCAGTACAGACTGAGGTGAGGTGCCTGTTGAACTTTGTTCTCTTCAAAACTTACCTTAGGGATTAAAAAAAGGGGTATTGAACATCAGATGTGTAAATATTATCGCAGCGACGTGAGTTGGTAAAGATTTTCAGGGGTACTTCCTATATTTTGACAATGTGAGGAAGACTTCTTTTTGTTAAATGTAACATTTATTGAATCTTGACATATTCAGAAAAAAATGTACTGTGTATGATAAAGATGCTGTTAAAGCTTCAGCTTGAGTGGCAGTATGCAATTGAGTACAATTACTAAAGATGGATTCAAATCTAAAAATAAATATGCTGTAGTAAATGCTAATATAATATTGAGATTAAAAATATGTAGTTTTACCAGACCACAATTCTGAACATGGTTTCTTCAATCTGTAAAGTACAAAAGTAAGATTAATTAAATATTTCTGCAGCTGTAATATCCATAAATGCTTGGTAAAAAGGCAGCATAATCTACAAAAATAACCAAACAAAGGAAATAAATGAGTAAGATATTTCTTTATGGAGAGAATAATTGGTGGATTTTCAGCTATTAATATATTTCCAATATTTTAATATGTCTTCAACAATTAGAGATGTACTGAATTTTTTTATAACCCATTTATGTAGAATAAAGCATGCATATTGTACAGGAGAAAATGGGGACTACATTAATTTAGAGAAAAGCAGTTATCAGCTGTCCTGTTGTATGCTTTCTGTTCGGTGCTGATGTAGCAGGTTTGTATGTATTATATAGTATGTAACGTTGTACTGTGAATTTATGCACATTTATTTGCAATCTTTAGGTATTAATAAGCTTAACTGTCCGTATTTGCTGTGTTTTTGATAGTTTTGTGACATGTTTTTGCCCTTGTTGTTGTACTTGTATGCTAATGTGCTTTTAAGCCTCCTTGGTGTGATCTTGTGAAAAGTTTCTCAGAAATGTTTATGATGAGTTCTAAACCTTAAAAAGGTTGATGGTGTTACAGAACCATTGGTATCAAATTTGTAATTAAGAATCTACGCAGACGTTCACTTAAATCTGGTCTGAAAACCTGCATTTACACTTAAATCATCATAGAATGCTTTGGGTTGGAAGGGACCTTATAGACCACCTCATTCCAGCCCCCCTGCCAGGGGCAGGGACACCTTCCACCAGACCAGGTTGCTCAAAGCCCCGTCCAACCTGGCCTTGAACCCTTCCAGGGAGGGGGCAGCCACAGCTTCTATGGGCAACTTGTGCCAGTGCCTCACCACTCTCACAGCAGAGAATTTCTTCCTTATATCTAATCTAAATCTACCATCTTTCAGTTTAAAACCATTGCCCCTCATCCTGTCATTACACTCCCTGATAGAGTCCCCAACTCTCTCAGCCTGTCCTCACAGGGGAGGTGCTCCAGCCCCCTGATCGTCTTCGTGGCTTCCTCTGGACCCACTTGAGCAGGTCTGTGTCCTTCTGATGTTGAGGACCCCAGAGCTGGACACAGCACTGCAGGTGGGGTCTCATGAGAGCAGAGTAGAGGGGGAGAATCTCCTCCCTCGACCTGTTGGTCAGGCTTCTTTTGATGCAGCCCAGGGTACAGTTGGCTTTCTGGGATGCAAGCGCACATTGTCTAGATCTAGTTTCTAGATTTTCTAGAATTGTTTATTTGGACACCTTCTTTGCGGATTAATCTGCGCTGGGGGCAGTTCCATACTGTTTTGGATACCCAAACTGACTGTCTGCAATGGTAGAATCATAAAGGAATTTAGGCTCAGTGGGAGATCTGGAAATTATTCGATTCAACCCCCAGCTCAAAGCAGGGCTAAACAGCAGAGTTAGATCTAGTTGCTCAGGCTCATATCCAGTAGCATTTTGAATATCTGTAAGGATTGAAATTCTGCCCTTTCTGGGCCGTTTTTCAGTATCAACTTTCACTGTGAAAGTTTTCCTAATGCTACATTGGAATTTTCTTTGTAATTTGTGTCTACTGCCCCTCATCCTTTCGCTGTGTACATTCAAGAAGAGTCCAGCTTTGTTTTTTCTATGATCTTCATTAGGTAGCTGAAGACAGCGTCGCAATCCTGCCTTAGCGTGCTCTGCTTGAAACTGAACAGACATAGCTTTAATCATGTTGATGGCCTTTCTCTAGACATTCTCTGGTATCATAGTGTTTTGTATTGAGCACCAAATTGGACAGTTGTTCTCCAGAGCCAAATTGAGGAGAGTAACGATTTCACTTGACCTGGTAAGTACATTCTTGCTAATATGGCGCAGTGTGCAATTTGTCTTCATTGGTGCAGAAGGATCCATGGCTGACATACATTCAACTTGTCAGAAAGTTTCAAAGAGGACCTCAGGTCAGTTTTTGCAAATCTGCTTTCTATTCAGTCAGCCCTCTGCCTGTGCTCTTGTACGAGTTTATTTTGTTTTCAAATGTAGGTTGTTGCTTTAATTGAAGTTGCTGAGTAGGTATTGGCCTGCCTTTCCCACATGTTGAGGTCCCTCTGAACTGGACATCCTACCACTGAGCATATTGACCACTTCCCCCAATTTGCTGTTGTCTACAAATTTGACACTTTGATACAATGATTAGGTCATTAAGTGAGGATAAGTCATTAATGAGGATATTAAGAATATTGACCTTAGTATCAATCTTGAGAAACATCAAGAGTGACCAGCTGCCAGTCGGTCTTAGTACTAATGATCACAATAATTGGAATCCAACAGCCTAGTCAGTTTTCCATCAACCTTATAATCCACTTACCCAAACCACATCTCTCCAGTTTGGCTACAAGGGTACTGTGGGAGATTGTGTCAGAAGCCTGACTAATAGGAGAGTAAAGAAAATCCCCTGCTCTCCCCTTGGCCACACCACCAGTCATTTCTCAATAGAAGTCTGTCATGTTGGTCAGGCACAACATGCATTCAGTAAATGCAGGATGACTGTTCTCAGTCATCTTATCATTCACGTGCCTGAACGTGACGTCCAGAAGGGTTTGCTGCATATTCTTTCTGGGGTCAGGGGTTAGTCTGCTCAGCCTGTAGTTTTCTGGATCCCCCTCCTTGCCTTTCTTCAAGATGAGTTGAGATGTTTCCGTTTTCATCAGGAGTTTCTCCCCATCTCCAATAGAAAATTATGTAGAGTGGTCTTGTAATGTCATCAGCCAGGTCTCTCAGCAGTCAGATGCATTTTATTCCATATAATGAAATACTTCCTTTTCAGTTTCATATAAAATGTTGCATGCAAAGTTTTTCATGTAGCTTCCTATATCAAAACAATATAATTGCTACAAAGTTGAAAAAAGTTAGGAAACACAGAGCTTAAAGCTGTCTGTACCATTTAAATTGTCCCCTTTTGTGTTTGTATAAATGCATATTATACAACCTTTATTACATTATCACATTTGGTTCCTCTCTCCCTGTCCCTTGTTTTTCTGGAAGAGTCCTTGAGCTGTTCTGCTTTTGTTGCAGACTAGGCACTGTTTAGATTGAATCAGTATTGTGATAAATAAGATTATAAGAATCCTGGTTTATGTATTGTGTAACTTGCATGAGGGTATTGAATAAGCAGGGAATTTGGGAGTGAGAAGGAAAGATGTAATGTGAGTAGTAAGTAACACTGTTCTTGAGAATTGGATTTTTATCCTTGTCTCTGACACAGAATGTCTGTAGTAGTTGTTCATGCTTCCCCTTACGGTGATAGTTGTCTTTTGAATATGTGGGAAGCTGTTAAAATATGAAGTTTAGTGATGAACTTGAATCTTAGATGTCTCTAGACAAAGTTAGTAGGCACTGCAGTTTTATCCATAGTTTTCCTGTGACTTAGTTTGCCATCTGTAACTGAGGATCATACATCTGTGTGATTTTCATGTTAAGAATGGGAATGTAACACTGAGAAGTGTGGTGGAGGAGTATCTTGGGGAATGGATAATTCCATTACAAGCTACATAGCTTAAAGGGTACTCAGTAAATAAGACCTCAGACTTCATTGTTGAATGATAAATTGGTTTGAAGCAAACATCCATCTATTTTAATGAACACACTTACTCCTCTTTGAACAATAGAGCAGTGGGTACATGCAATTGCTGTCTGGTTCGATACGTGAAAAGTATTGAGCATGAAGTGGAGCACAGGCTGTCGCTGGTGCCTCTGCTTATTTCAGGAACAGTGTTACACATGCAGGAGTAGTTTGCCTTTCAGCTATCAGGAGAGGAGGGAGACAGAAACCCCAGTCTCTTATTTCCAGTAAGGGTAAGAGAATTATGACTGTGAATGACATTAGGAAAAGCTGTAGTTATTGAATGATAAGTGTGCTCATGTTTAATTGTACAGCAGTTAGTGTATTATTGATGAATACTTTTTATCCATTTGAAAAAAATACTATAAATAGATGGATATGTGAATTTATTATGGTGGAAGGTGTGTCTTGGTATCAGTTGAGTAGCTGTAAGTTAGAACATCACCTGACAGTTTTAAGAGAGTTTGAGCAAACTGTTGAGGCATTTTTTCTATCATTTTTTTTTCCTTCTATGTGAATATAACATTGTAAGTCTTGTGACTTTAAAACTGAAGGAAAAAAAAAAAAGTTTTTTCTACCTTCTTACTTCAGATTTTGTTGTGAAGGACTCACTTAAAGGAAAAAAAAAAGAACGGTATAAATTGCCAGATCAGGCTTTACTTTTTCTCACCTATCACAAACATTGTTTTTCTGTAGAAATTTCTTGTGTTTGACTTACATGGAAAAGCAGAGGCCATTGCCACCTTCATAAGACTTTCAACAATCACTTCATACAGGAGTTTAATCATCAGAAGTAACGTGGTCATGAAGAAGATGGTGATGCAAGTTCTCTCTGCATTGGAGTCATAATCAACAAAGTAGCAGAATTAAAACAATTATGTTTAAGATTTATGAAAGTAAAGGTACTGCTGTTATTAATATTTAATGCTTTATTACACTTAGATGTACTTCTGGCTTGTACTGTTGCAGGTCTTGAACAGAGCAGGTAAAAAATATAGCTGGCACAGCATTCAGGAGAATGGTCATATAAAAGATTTTAATGATGGAAACACCTCTTCTTTTTTCTTCTTAAGCAGAAGTGTCTGTACAACATAGGCATGCACTTTTGATGCTTTTACAGATATCAGTTGGAATATTATCTTATGTTTCCACAGTGTTTACACTATTATCTGTGCCTGAAGAAGGGACTTATGAATGGATTGAGTGCAGAATAATGTCTCATAGTGATGTTTAGATTTTAAAATGTGAAAGATAGATGAGCTTAAGATGAGGAGAGAGGTTGGAACAGTGTGCAAAGGAAAGTTCTGATACATCTCTGGTAGAAAGTTGTAGATTGATCTAGACAGCACCAATTTCAAATGAAATGAAAGTGAACCAAAAATGAGTTTAAGTCAAAAATTTATTTCAGTCAAAGTTGAAATTACTGTGTTCTACTGAACCCAGATCTATGAAACATGTCAAGTTCTTTATGGCATGTTTCTTGAAAGACAGCTGTTTTCTGGATGTATGTTGTGGTTCTGCCACTTTATTTAATTTATGTGGGTTTTGTGCTTCTGTACATGTTTTAATAAATGTCCTACCTGACCTTAGCCCACTAAGATCTTGTTGGTTACTGGAAGATGCAGTCCTTGCCAACTCCGTCATGCTGGCCATAGTACTTGTAGTGTCAGTCAAAATGGATAGTTATTCACATTGAAAATATCACCAAAGACCACCCCTTAGGATTGATTTTCAGTCACATCGCTTTTCTAACAGAGAGGGACTAACAGAAACATGCCTGTCAGATGTAAGGCAAATTTAGATCTCTTAAACTCATTATAAACTGCCTTGTATAAGATAATTTTCCTGTTCTATCTTAAAACATAAAGGCACAAGCTGTAGCATATATGTAGGATGAAGTACCTTTTCTTGTTTCATACAACTGTTAACCCTGAGCAGCAGTCTAGAGTTCAGCTAAGTCTTCTCAGTAGAAGGAGGAAAGGGTGGGAGACAACTTGCAAGCAATCTGTTCAAACAAAAATTTGTCGTTGCTGCAGAAGCTGCTTATAGAACTTGCCCATTTCCCAAGAAGGCCATTTCACCTGGTTAGACCTGAGTTGAGATGTTCTTACTGGCTCAGCAAAGTCTTAAGCAGAGGCCAGCACTGCCAGTGGTGCAAAACATATGAATTATGTAGTACTCTGTGGTGTGGACCACTGCCTGTCAGAGATCGGTAACAAAGATCACTGTGTGCATCTCAATTAGGAGACCATGCTCTCTGAAGTGGATTTTTACCCTTTCCTTATCCTTTCTTCAGCCTAGCAGTGCAGAGATGGTGTTTCATCTTAGATGTTTTTTCTGTCTCTAGAAAAAGTAGAATAGAAGAGCTAAGAAAACAGCTCTTCACTGAAGACAAGGATCTAAAATTATCTTCGGATAAATAAAGTAACGGTTGTGTACTTCTTGTCTTTACAGATGCTTTGAAAACAAATTAAATCCAATTTGAAGGTTCCCCTGTCTAGCATCAAGTAAAGATCAAGCAATTTACAGTTTCATAACACTTGCCTAAGAAACGAAAACAGTCTTACAGAATGAGTCTTTCGGGTGTAACTTATGTAAAGTTCATGTGAGCATGCCTGGTAGCAGTATTTAACAATACAATTAGACATGGATGGAGAGAAAACACAATCCGTATATCAGAGGTTAAAGGCTATTCTTTCTATCTGTGACTTGAATAACCATCACTGATTGTTTTGAAAAATCATGAAATGGCATGCCCTCAGTATCAGTGAGTGACAGCTTATATTAAACTAGTAGTTTTGATGTAACATTAATTGATTTCTCTAAGATTGAATGTTGAGGATGGAAAACAGAAGTATGTTTAAAAATGGCACAGTTATGAACGTGTTTATTTATCTCATCCCTCTTGTTCTTTCTCAAGCATCAAGATCTTGCATTATGAGCTTTTGTAGGTAGACACTTGCAATTCTGTCATTTGGATGCTATAGTAACTACATGCATCTCAGTCTTCTCTTGTCTTTAGGAGTTGGATCCCTGCTGTATGTTGTAAAGTCTTGAATTAGCAAATGGAAAAGAAGGAAGCATTAGATAAATGCACATAATTATCCTTAAAGTACTTTTTAGTCTGTTGCTTGATTAGAAATTCCGAGTTAGTGTGCATGAACTGTCCTACATCTGTTTTTACATCCTTCTTAGGAGTCTGGACTTGAGTGTTGTCTCTGCTTCCAGGGAACGTGTCCACCAGAGTTTGTGGTCAGGAATATCATCACCCTTACTCAAATTACTATGGTCTTCATGTAATCTAAGCCCAATTACTGTGTTACCTCAGACCGTTTTTACAGGTCTGAAGTGAACAGACTTCCTCTTTTTCTCTGATTTCTTTCCCAGCTGACCAGATGGGCAACTTAAAAATACTGGTGTGTTGTCTACATCAAAATTCAGGAGACTGTTTTTCAGGATATTGCTGCTTTTGTTGCTTCCTTTTATCACTGTTCAGTTACTTTGGTCATATTACTGATCTGAGACACCCTTTTAATGTATTGCCATTTGTGTAGTACAAATAACAAAGTTATGTGAAACCTGAAACATTTTGAATACTTTGTCCTCTTTTGGGTAGCGAGTCTCTCCTGTGCTTTCTCTTTACTTGGAACTCTGGACTTGCCTAATGAATAACAGTTTGATCTGTAATGTAAGATGGCTGACATTTTATGAAATTGGAATTAAATGAAGCACATAGGTTGTTGTTAACACTATACAGTAACTTAGTTCTTGATAGCTTTGATTTGAGCAGGAAAATTAATAAATCAGACAATAAAATGTGTATTGTTGTGAAACGAAAGGTTTAAGAGATTGTGCGATGTCTTAATGGACCGATCTTTCTTCTATAAAGACATAATTTTAAAGTTCTGGTTATGCACCCAAATAAAAGTGAGTTTACTGTTCTGCTCTTCCTTCACATGCCTCTGAAGCTTGCAAAAACAAATACATAGTTTTAAAGGATTCAGCATGCTGAATGTCTATTTCAAGACAGGAGCCCTTAGCATATCAGGGTTGACCTACACAGGCAGAAGGGCTGGTAAAGCCCAATTGGCTTCACCCGTACCTTGTGCTTTGTTCAAACTTCTACTCTTAATCCCTCATTTTTCTTTGCATCCAAGTTATACAACATATGTTCACACAAATTTACCTGTTCCCTGAATTCTTTCTTCCTACTTAAAGTGCTATCTTTTGGACTTTGGAAAGAAAGGGCCAATCCCCACAAGCCTCCAGTTTTGAAGGAACCAACTGTTTTGGTAAAAAGACTGCTGTGTGAAGAAACAGCATTCCCCTTCTAGCAGTGGTCATCAACTATTGAAGCTTTCATATATTTTTAGAGTGTGCTTTAAAGAGGATGTATTATCCCAATAATATTGCTCACAGACAACTGTGAAGAAGATCCATATAGTATTTCATATCACTGTAACTTCTGTTGAATTTCTGAGTGTGCTATTTGACTTGATCACAAAAAAAATTCTAATAAACTCTTCCCACAGAAACTGAAACAGAAGAATCAGCAGCTGAAGCAGATCATGGATCAGTTACGGAATCTTATTTGGGACATAAATGCCATGTTGGCAATGCGGAACTGAACAAGGAAAATCAGACTTTGTAATTGGAAAAGATACAAATTTGTTTGGAGATATTGAATTTCTTTCTAAGAAGTAACATGTTTTCCTACAACCATATTGCAGTAATGTTTGAAAAGTCTTCAAGATTAAAATGTTGGGGGTTTGTAATAACTTAAATGGTGTTAGTTTTGTTTTTATAAAAGATTCCTCCTACAGGTTTAACCAAGTGATTCACTTAGCGTGAATGTAATACAGCCTCAATAACTTGCAGTAACAGTTTGGATCGCTATGCAAATGGGGTTTTTTATAAATTAGGTGTTTCTGTTTTGTTTTTAAATACTATTAACACTGTTTTGAAAACATATGTTTACATGCCATTCTGCAGTGCAAACCACCTCTACAGATAGGAAAGGTCTGTAGGCCATTTCTGTATTGCACAGAAAAGTCACTCTAGTAAGCTACAGGACTGAAATAAGTGATCAGATACTACAATGCAATATGTTTCCACATTGTGGGAACATTTAGTACAGGTTCCTATGCCATATAAGTTCATCTTATTCCATATTCTACCACTGGATACATGTTATATTAGATAAATTGGAACAAAACTTAAAAGCTACATAAAATTACCCCTATATCCTTATGGATATAGTAAAGTCTTCTAAAATGAAGACTACATGCATATATCCTCAGCATTGACTTCTTCTGTAATGATGTGTTATAATTTCTTGAGTACTGCTCCAGTTATTGTATGGTGTATTCATATAGCATTATGTACGTTTGGAATACTTTGGGTTTGTTTACCAGAATGCACTGAATAAAGACCTCATTAATCTTTTCCTTATGACTGCCAGTCTTAGAAAACTTTGGAGTATATGAGCAGTTCTTTATTTTGAGTTAATCATCAACCTTCATCTTTCTTTGTTCTGCCTCTGGTAATCCTCACAATTTTCATTAGGCCTGAAAATAGTAATTTTTGTTATCCACAGATACTGCCAGTGGACTATGTGTCTCTTTTTCCAGGTGAATGAATATGTAAAATAATGCTGTTTCAGTACAAATCCATAAGGCACTCTACTATTAATATTTGCGAAATTCAAAACTGACCATCCTCATGATTTGCTTCTTGTGTATTACTTTTAACTCTCATTCTGTGCCCTGTCAGATTCTGTAATAGTTTTATGTGAAAGATTTGTGCAGAACCTTCTGAAGAGTCCAGTTAAATAGTATCCTTTAAAATATATCCTTTTTACAATACGGGGTTTTGACACTTGAATGTTTATTGATTTGAGATTTAAAAATGCTATACTGATTTGTTGTTCTATCAGTCTTCTTTATTTTGTTTTTTAATAATTTCAACCCATTTGTCTACTCCTTGAGGTAAAAACCCCTGGCACATAATAGATCTGATCATGTCTGGTTAACAATGTATGACTTTTCCATTAAATTAGGTACAATATAGTTGTCTTTTATTTCTCCTTTTGAAGGTTTTAAATCTTAACATATGAATGGATACCCAGTCTTATAATTGCAAGTAAACAGAGTTCGAAAATGTTAATTTTGTTTACCCAGTGTTGAAAAATTATGTGTAACTGTGACAATACCTAGATTTGAGTAGATGTCAAAACACCATACATATAAGGTCACTGTCTTTTCTCCCATGTTATAGTTGGAAGAGTGGATATCTTACTCAGTGACAAAGCTAGCAGCAGAAATGTTCATCTCCCATTTAGATTGATCAGTGTGGTAGATGTGCTGGTCAGAAGTCGTGGTTGATTTTTGCAACTGCAAGAGACATAACTATTTTATATATAAAGCTTTTGAAAAGGAGATGAAGACTGCGAGCAGAGATTTTATTTTGTTGTTTGTTTAAAATGCAGGCACGTTTTTTGTATTTGCAAGGTGTAGTGGCAGCTACAGAAGTTTAGTGTATGTCTAAGCATACATCCAGCCTAGAAGGACTATTGGAAATGGATTTTGAAATGGCACCACCATCTTAATTGTGAGTGTAAAATTCTCAGTACTTAGTAGTTTGTTCTATTTTTGGAATAATTATGGAAAATGGAGATTAGTCTAAGCTTTGCTTTACTGCCTGTATACTATTTATGTATTCTTACTAAAAGTCTTTAAAGTTTGTTGACTCTTTTATTGCATATAAACAGTGCAGAAGTAACCTAAAATGTGAATAAGAGTGCAAATACTGCAAATGGATTTCTCACTGATGCAATATTCAGCTTGCTCTGTGCAACTGCTAGCAGTAGCCAAGGTTTATACTACAATTTTTCATCTGGGAGAGAGGAGAAAACACTTTAAACCACTACCAGAATAGATAGTGCCGTAGCTAAATTGCAAAGTGCATAAATTGACAGAATTGTATATTATCGCAGTAAATACTGTCAAAACAGGAACTCTGCAAGGTGTTGGACCAAAACCGTACACTTTGACTTACAGAGATGAAAGTAAGTGTAGTGAACGTAATTCATATGCTCCCAGATACATGAATAAGCATAGGATTTCGCCAAGAAGATGACAGTTTTAAGAAAAATGGCAGTTCCTCAGCTGTGAAATACTTTTAAAGGAATTACTGGGCATCAACATGTGCTGAAATTTAATATTTTAGTTAATGCTAACAACTTTTAACTGCTGGTTAATGAAATGGCACCAAATGAAGTATTTACAAATACCAGCAAAGCAATACAACACAGATGTTTCAATGTTTTGTTTATATATGATTGACTATTCTGTATTTCTGATTAGGCAGAAGCTGGATAAACATACAGGCAGTCCCAGGAGCAGATACCAGAACCAAAGATGGTTCAATTTTTGAAATACAAAAATATTTGAGTGGGTTGGGGTTCTTATGGCTCTCTTTTGTCTGGAGAGGACTTGGGGCAGTAGAGTTAGGCTGCTGAACACTCTGTAGCATGTTTGTGGGAGCATCCCAAGTTAACACGCACTCAAAATGAAACCATTAATCCAACACCTTTGTAGACAATATAACAGATACTGAATGTTTGGTTCAGTGTCACAACAGAGAAGATGCCTGCAAGGCAGTATACAAAGGTCCAAGTTGTTTTTTACATAAAAAGACAAGAGCGTGGAGCAGATTTATGCTATGTTCAGGAAAGGTGCAAGGAGTTTACTTTTCCACTTGTTTTTTATAGAGGCAGCAAGGCCACATCCAGAGTGCTCTAATAAACCATGACCGTTTTTATTGTCCTGTAGGAAAAAAACCTGCTGTGGTTATAGTAGTTCTTACTGATGGATAAACTGGAACTTGTGCACACGTGCAACTTCAGTTAATCACTGTAAGGAATAGATTTAGGTGCAGTAGGACAAGGATTCTGGTCTCACAGGAACCAGGATTTCATCGATGTGCAAGATGGCTGCGCAAGCCAAAAAGACTACAGCTGAAGGATGACTGACAATTGCTATGGGTAGCAACAAGCTCCAGATGTAGATTTGAAGATCTGAAGTTAAGAAAAAGCATCAGAAATAAGATGCAATGACACCCAACGATACTGTGAGTCAACGGAGCTTTACAGAGGATGGATTATTTTAATTACTTTGTGCTAACAAAGGAAATGGGAAACTATAAAGGAATTTACAAATACATCAGTGCAGAAAAAAAATATTTGGGGAAGAAAGTGAGTAGTTTGCTTACTCTCCTTATTTAATAGCAATGAAGACTAATATGGTAGAGTATCAGGGCTTTAAAGGAGAGGGATTTTTGCTGAGTTGGAAGATTACTTTATACAAAAAAATAACAAGTTAGCTGATTTGTATTGCAAGATATTAATGAAAGTGACAAAAAATATGTACCAATGCCAGTTACTATTTAAGAAAATGTAATGGATAACTGAAACCTAAATAAATAAATGCAATATAGTGAAACTTTTATCTCGTTAAATCTGACTTCTGTGTAAATTTTTAGGGTTTTTCTTACATTGCATAAGGGACACATTCTGGCATCTGTTACAACATTACACAACAAATAACGCTACTGAGCTGGGAACAGTGTTAATGTTGATGTGAATGTAGTCAGAAGCAGAATACATGTTTATAGCACTGCTCACTGGACTAGGCCCAGCAAAGACCACAGACGTATTTGGGAGCATCTCAGCTGCTTGTATGCCTTCATGTTCAACTTGCAAGCTACCTAATTAAGTACTTCAGAGTTCTGCTTCTGCACATGTTCCCAGCAAGTGGTGGTATCTGATAATCACTGCTGAGGTTGTCTTAACTCCATGATTTTTCTGCCCAAATCCTAGATCAGGCCTGATGTGTTAGGCCCTCTTTGGCCCCTCATGCTCTCATTTTCCCTTCTCAGCTGACTGCACTTACTACAAAGCTGTAGAGCGGTGTTCTGGAATAGATTTGAAAATGAGTGGCTGAAAGGAATGAATTACATACACATCTGTGATAAAATCCTTCCCGAGGTCTGCGTATGCTTTCTCATGACATCTTGCTTGAAAAATAAATTCAGATTTGCCTAAAAAGGAAGAAAGATATGTGATTTTAAAGTTGTTTGAGTAGCAGTGGATAGCAATGCAGTTGTTTTTATAGCCACATAGTGGTTTTAGTGGTATTTACAGTTCGGGAGAGTGGGGAAGAGGGTCATGAAGACAGTCCATTACTGGAATACATTGTTGAAGTGGGAAGACCCAAACAATAAGGGGAAAATATAAAGCAATATAGCAGCAACAATCAAAACTTAGTTGAGCACGAACTGACCATAAAATAGAGGCAAGGCAAGATGATATGGGAAAACACATTTTAAGCCTGTGTTAGAGATAATTGGGATGCAGTGAGAGAAAAATAGCCACTGCAGTTTTGGGGTATACGACCTAATATTGCATAGTAGAGAGAGTAAGTGTGAAAGCGCTTGCTCTGAGACCAGTAATTCTGATACAGTAATTCTGCATGAAATACTGCATTAGTTTTGGGGTCAACATGTCACTAACAGTGAAAGAGAAGAATACCGATGTGCTACCACATGAATAATCATTAGAATAACTCGTGAAAGCAAAGACAAGGCTCAAATTCTTGGGTAGATGCAAAAATGAGGTAATTAGAGTGATTTGGAATGGCAGTAGTACAGAATGGTGAAAGAAGGTAAGCAAGAACAGCAATAGAGTGGTGGGTGGGGGAAACCTTTTAATGCTAATATATGAAATACTAATTTCCCTAGGAGTTTATATGTCTCTTGGGTTACTTGGAAATCTTAAAACTAAACAGCACAAAAAGGCTAGACAAATGTGTTGGGAAAAGCCAAAAAAAAAAAAATCCTATCTTGCACTGGTAGAGCAAGAGGTGGGCTGAGCTGACCTGACTGGTTTTTCCACCTTTAGATTTTACAGTTGTAAAGCATCTGTTCATCAGATGACTGTCAGATGATAAGCTCCTGAGAGCACCTGGACTAGATGCCACCTGCAAGTATTAAACAGGCTTTCATGGCTTCTTTGTGATGATTTGCTGCTGAAATTCCTCTTCAGGTTAACATGCCTCTGCGGAATTTCTGTTTGAGGAATTGGAGCAGAAAAGGAAATGAAGGAGTACCTTATTTCTCCTTCCGTGCCTCCCCACTCCACATCCCCAGCTTCCCACCCTTAGTTTTGCTTCATTTCCTAGTGAAGAGCTGCTCCGTGATCTTACTGCAAAGCTGAAGTAGTAGCTGATACTTATTACTGTCTGTTGAATCAGTAGAACTTAGGAAGCTTTTTACTAATGGGAAGCATGATGCTACTTATCCACCCTTCCCCAGCCAATAGTAAAAACAACTGTAGTGTTTGCATGCCTTTCTGTGTGAGCTCGTGTCACAGTCTGCACTGAGGAAGCACATTTGTTCCAGCACAGGCACAGAGGGGTGATCCAAGTGTGTAAAACATGTGATTGTATTTTGCCTCAGATATAAAGTAGCATTATAAATTGTTATGTAAACCACATGCTACTTTTATAGCATTTGCATATGTTACATATATTTTTGTTCAGTGTGGGAGGTTTTAATTACTTTCTAGGAAACGAGAACTTTTTTTAAAGGTCTTGAATGGTCTTGAGCAACCACATCTAAAATGCCCTCAAGCAATCACAGAAGACAGAAGTAAGGGATGGAAATAGAACGTAGGCATTGCACTTTCTCACAGAGAAGAAAATGTTTTTATATGTGTGTTTAATTACTATTGCCACAGTCCCAATTTCTCATCATAATCATTTGGTAGCTTAGATTTTATAAAAACTGAGCCCCACTGTACCATTTTGAAAGTAATAAGCAGATTCATGGTAGTTAAGCCAAATACAATTAGATTTATTTATTTTACAGCTCCATGAAGTTGCAGAGACCACTATAATTTAAATTAGCTTTACAAAGTCAGAATGGAGTTGGAATTAATTAATGCAAATAGTATACGGCTTTCAGATCTCAGCTTTTGAACTTGACTCAAACAATACAGCTAGTTTTCCTGCTGAACAAAAAAGCAAGCAGAGAAACAGGGAATCCTTCAGTTGTGCAAACTCACATCACAGACAGGAGTAAGGAAAACAGGTGGAAATTTCAGCCCACTGATACTCTGAAATAGTTATCAAGCAGATTATGTACCATTTTGCTGCATTTTAGCGCAGCACCTACAAAAAAAAAAAAAAAAGGTTGTTACAGGGACAAAGCTGAGACTGGTAGCGTGAGTCCAGCAACATCATCCATGCTCATGCATGTGCCCTGGCTGCATTTAGGTTTAAGGCACAAGTATTTATTCCTGAAGTTGACTGCTTGCACATGGCATGTGTGTAAAATTTCAGAAGCCCCTTGTATGATGGTTTGTGTATGTTTTTAAAGGCCTTTCACTGGCACATAGTAAAGTCAAGTCCCTGGTGACCAACCCTATACTGGTATGCCAATAAAGGTCTCTATTTGTATGGGTGGAGATGTACAAAACTGATGAGTAACTCTGTCCCTGAGAGCAGGGTAGGTAAGCAGGAGGAACTAATGACAGAAATAGAGAGCAAAGAGTTGCTTCCCCCAGGACTGAAGGGTTAATTTTTCCTTTGTTTCACATTTTTTTGTTTGGCAGCGTTTTATTTGAGTATGTGAAAAACTCTCTCAGTGCATGCAGGTTTCCATTTGCAGCTCCAAGACCATTTGCATTCGAAGTTTGGGTTCAGGCTGTTGAAAGGCAGGAGTTATCTCCAGTGTGCAAATGTGAATGTGGAGTACAACTGCCCAGGAGACTGGTGATACATCATCTCCAGGGTTTTTGTCGAGGTCTTATATTTTAAGTGTCAGCCTTCCCAGTCTGTTGCAAGCACAATTTACACCCCTTCTGTCTCCTAAGAGGAAAGGAAATAGAGGCGACAGAGATGTTCCCAGAGGAGTGACTCATCTTTACCCTTCAGGAGTGTTCAAGGATAGCCACCTCTACCAATCATTAAATAGTTGTTTTTAAAACGAGAAAAAAAAAGATGCAAAGCAGTTAATCCTATTTCCCAAATGTTCTGCAGTGCACATCATTATCTATTCAGCTTCTCGTAGTCATTACCAGAGAGAAATTAGGTCTAGCAATGAATGGTCAGTATGATGCTGTCAGCAACACACACTTCAATTTTAAATTTAAAATGGAGTCTGTTTTCTGCCTATATCAGCTATTAACTCTGCTGTCATTGTCACAAAGCCATCAATCTCAGTCTGTCCCAAACCCATTTTCTGTGAAGAGTCAGCCCATCTTCCTTATTTCCTACACATGCAGATTTTAAATCATCTTGTAAACCTTGTACTGCACCAAAGGTTTAAGGCTGCAAGACTTGGCAGGCTGTTTTTTGGTTTTTTCTCCCCCACCCTCCTCTTCAGTATCTACATCCAGATGACAGATTGCAGCAGATCTCTGGACTGGATCATGCCAGAAATGGGAAAACAGAAAAGAAACCCTAAAGCTGACACGAAATGGATGAAAGTCTGGTTCCACAGAAACTGATGGCTAATGCAATAAGACTTAATTTCCAAGTGATTGCTATCAAAATTATTTCAGAGGGATAATGCACAAAGTGGCCTTTGTAGGCTGGACCTTGTACATTTTAGAGATGATCTCTGCTTGTGCAGCATCAAAGCATCTGAGAGTGTCAGAAATGCCCCTGTTAGTTGCCTTCTAGTGTAATGCAAGGGAATTTGTTACCAGAACATTTTAAACATTTAATTGAAAGGGTCTTCTGGATTTTGCCTCTCTTCTGGGTCTAACAATGCCTAAGAACATTGACTGTTAAGGCCCATTAATTTCCTCAAAATTTCCAGAAGGGCACCGTTTAGGGAGCATATATATGATATATAAAGGATAGCTGTGTTAGGAAGAGTTCAATGACTAAAGAACATGTTCTGATCTTCATTTTATTCTATAAACATGAATCCTTCAAGCAAGAGTCTTTTTTAATAGGTACAAAGAAGTTTCTGCCTCTTGGGTCCATGACAGAAAGTTGCTTCATTAACCTACATCTAACTGGAAAAACTGTAAAGGGACCAATTTGTTAAATACAGTAACTGTGATGTTGTGTTGCATCAGTACATAACACAGCGAGTAATGAAACCTGGGTAAATCTGGCCATTTATGTGTGCAATTACTTTGTTGTTAAAGCGTTGGGCGCTTGCAACCTGGGTACTCTGAGAGCTGTATTGCCGCTTTGAGTGCTGTGTCCGACAACTAAAGTGACACTAATATTTGTTGCAAATCTTGTGTTGAAATCCCATCTTAACCTGTAGATGTCTGTATTATTGTAATGAAGCCTAGGTTTTGCTTACAGGAAATCACAGGCTTGCTAAGCCTTGATGTAACTGAGCTGCTGTGATCCCTAGATAGCATCTAAGTGCTGGCAAAACTCCCGTACTGACCCTTTCATCACCTCTCACTCTTGGGATC